GTACACGGATGAATTGGTGGGAAGGGTAGGATAAATGAATGAATGGAAAGACAGGTAGATAAACAGCCATGTGGACAGTTAATGGTTTGGAAAATGTACAATCACAACACACTGGTTTCCGTTAAGTGTGCAGTTCAGTTAAGGATTATCGTTGCTGTAATCGTAAAGTTGCATGTGCTCAATCTGACACATGCCATTCAAGTGGCTGAAAATGATTCGACTGAATCAGCCTGCCTTTTTTTCCACATCATCCTTTCTTTTCTCCTAGCTTGAATGGACAAATTCATGTAAGGCTCCCAAAATACCTTTTGCCCAGGTAAATAAAGCAGAACACATCGCTCGCTACCTTGACTGCCAGAGAACTAGCGTACGTGTATGTATGCGTGTGCGCACGTGCGTGCGTGTGCGTATATACTGTGTGTGTGTTTGTGCTGCTGAAGTAATCTTTAACCGCCCCCCAATCTCGTCTACTCTTCGATGTCAAAGGGTTCCGTTCCTCCATCCTCTTAGGTGTCTTAAAGGTTCCGCCTCCTCTTCCGATTTCCACCTCTTGCCTTCAGGATGGGCTTGGGCAGTGTTGCCACTTTGGATGTTTTACATCCAGATTTATATATTTTCCCTTGCATTTAGATGGCGTTTTTAACCTTTGATGGTAGATGTTTTTCTAGATGTTTTTCATTTGGAGTGAATTTATCAAATCTAACCTAAGAAACAGGATGAAATTTGACCCCTTAAATGCTATCTTGACAATAAAATTCGGCCTGATAAGAGTAGGAAAAGGCTGTTCCACTTATCAGCTCCCTGATAAGGTAATAAAAGAAATTGGAACAGCTAAAGCATACCAGTCATTTTGGATCTGTAGCTTCAACTTCATCATCCAAGCTAAGTTTATCCTGTGGATCTTGTGAGGCAGACTTCAGTGAAGATGAGGACATGATTCTATAGGATAAGTCATATCAATTGCTATGTAATTTGTGACTCTTTCTATTTGGATGTTTTTTTTAATATGTTTTCCACGCAAATTTAGATGTTTTTATATCTTTTCTGACTCCGTTTTGGATGTTTTTGGTAAAGAAAAGTGGCAACATTGGGCTTGAGTGAGATAGTTTCCAGGGCAAGCCTGCAGGTATATACATGGCGCTCTCACAGTAGGCCGGAAGGCATGTGGATGTTGCCGAAACTGGCCTATCTACCTGTGCACGCGTTGCGTGCTGATCGTTGGCTCATTTCTTATGGGTCCGTTATGTGTTTTGTCTACAACAACTACAGCCTCGACCACAACAGTTCCTGCTGCTACTGTTGTTGATGCCAATGCGGCTGCTGCTACCACCACGACTTCTAAGAAAAATAATAATGATGATGATATCACCATTACTACGACTAATGCTGCTGCTGTTAATACAGCTACAGACGTTACTACCACTAAACTTCTAAAAGTATTGTTGTAGCAGCTACTGCTATTATTTTCAATACTACTGCAGCGGCTATTACTGCTATATCGGAAAAAATATAATCAACTATGTGGATTGGTCAAAATAACAATGAAAAATTCCTCAGCAACATACAGACGGACAGAATAACTTTATCGCTCCCGCTCCCGCCCTATCGATGTCTAGTTTACAGAACTGAATCTGCACATAAAATGTGAAAAAATGTTTAGAGGAGAAATTATGAATGTTAACAAACTGCTGCAGAAGTTATTTATGCAAACATGAGCACATCACCTGAATTATGGCACAAATAATTTAGCACAGACAGTGACTGAAGAAATACTAGCAGACCAGATAGATAGAAAAAGTGACAAGACTGTATCTGATGCAGCTGCAAAATATAAGGAACGCCCAGGAGTGCGAAAAATATGGAGAGTTATTTTTACTGTAATACAGCAAACAGCAGAGCAAAACTGGGAATACAGAAGAGATGTACACAATGTTTTTGTGGATTTTAAAAAGGTAATTGATAGTGTACATAGAAACAGTTTATGGAATGCTATAAATGATTTTGGAACACCAAAGAAGCTCATTACTATGTATAGAAGACACTTATAATATAGTAACAAATAAAGGTAGAAAGTCAGACCCTTATCAAATAACATCTGGTTAAAAGTAGGGCTGTACCGAATATTCGCTTCGTATTAGCTTCGGGGCCGAATAGTGAACCTAATAACTATTCGGTATTCGGCCGAATAGCTGCGGTCGGGCCGAATACGAATAGTGGTTACCTTACTCACGTTTCTGTATACACAGTGATGGACTGAAATAAGTCTCCCATTAACACAATAGTTGCTGTTGCCTAAGTCTGTCGTAGCGGGGGAAACTGCGACCCGGTTGCGTGGTACAAACTGCATAAAATGCCAACCGCAGTGTGTGTGCGTGTGTGTGCGTAAGTGTGTGTCTGTGAGAGAGAGAGAGAGAGAGAGAGAGAGAGAGCGAGATAGAGAGAGAGAGCGAGAGAGAGAGAGAGAGAGAGAGAGAGAGAGGGAGGGAGGGAGAGAGAGAGAGATCATGCATTTTTCGTTCTTTCATAGTGTATTCACCGAAATCAAATTTGAAGATATTGCTAACGAGAATTTAAAGGTGCGTTTAAATTACATGGAACGAACGACCAAGCGAACGATGGTTTTGAAAGAGGCGGGAGCCCGAAGACAACAAATCACAGACATCAAAAGGAGACAGTCGTCATGTTTAAGCCATGTTATTAAAAGAGGGAAAATGGAACATTTAGTGACCACTGGAATGATCTGTGGAAGGAGGGATAGAGGAAGACAACGACAGAAGATTCGTGACAGTCTTGTTGCATGGCATGGAGGTGTGTCAGCACACGAACTGATACATTCTGCAGGAGATAGCAGATTGTGGAGAGGCATGATCGCGCACGCCAGTCGGCAAGGCACCTGATGATGATGATACACTATTCGTATTCGTATTCGGCCGAATAGTTGGCACCACTATTCGTATTCGGCCGAATAGTGAAAATCACTATTCGGTACAGCCCTAGTTAAAAGCAAGATGATGCTCTGTCCTCACTTCTTTTCAACTTAGCCCTGGGGACAATTATAATGAAATTGAAAAGAGTGACTATAGGAGAAACTACAAAAATACTTAGTTATGCAGATGACATTGATATAGTTAGATAAAATGAACTAGAGACTGTAAAAACACTCTTTTTAAAAAAAAAAAAAGCAGCTCACAAATTGGGACTAGTTAGCAATCAAGATAACACAGAATGCATTCTAATAACAAGACAGGGAAAGGATATTAACTCCGGCCGATAATATAAAAATCAAACGAACGAAAACATAAAAGTATTTGGAATCAAACTTCAACTGCTCCAACATGCTGAGAGATGAAATACAATCCAAAATACAATCTGGAAATAAAGTATACTATGCCCTTCAACATCTGCTAAATTCAAATCTTCTATTTCGCAACACCAAGATCAAAATCGTCGATAAGACTAATCGTTTTATATGGCTCTGAATCTTGGAGCACAACTAAAAGAGATGCGGCCTCATTACAGGTTTTTGAAAACAGAGTTTTACGACGAATCTTTGGACCTATCAAAAACGGAAACAGCGGAGAATGGAGAGTGAGAAGCAACAATGAAATTCCTAATCTGTTTAAAACACTGGCATCGTGAGATCTAATATAATGAAATGGCTTTGGGCATATTAAGAGAATGTCAAATGACAGAGAGGTATACACAAGAGAGCTGAATGGTCGTAGACCACGAGGCAAATCAAAAAAACTATAGAGAGAAAACATCCAGACAGACGTGCAAACACTTGGGGTCCCCACCTGGAAAGAGAATGCCAACCAGTGAGATACGTGGAGGCGGGTGACATCTGAAGCAATGAACCTCATGGGCTCGGAATGCTGTAGAAGAAGAAGAATGTTACACTAATGTCGGCGTCTGTGGCTTAGACGTTGCGAACGCGCTTCATAATGCCGGGGTGCCGTGTTTGATCCCAGCTGCCGGCCTTGTTACTTCCATTGATTTTAACAGTGGTATCGAGGAACTAACCGTCTAGAAAGCAATGGCAAACAACTGGACGAAAACTAACCTAGAAAAACCACAAAAGCCAAGAAATGCTGGGATTGGTTCTGCAACGTCCTGTATAGGACGCTTTAATGTTACTAAAAGTTTCTGATAAAATAATAAGGAAGAATTTTTGAAATATGTTAATATTTCCTACACAAACAATTAAGAGGTGAAATTATGGTAAGTTAAGAACAGTTTTCTAACTAAAAGAGCCTGCACTAACCAGATACCATATAATATATATCGGGTGAACAGACTGCGGTTTTATTTTTAATGTTAAAGGCAGCAATGCTTTTCTAAACCAGTAGCTAATGTATAGGAGTCAGCGGAAATTAAATCTAGTACCAAGCAGTTACTTACAACTCTCATTGCTAGTTATTCGCGTTATCTCTGACAGTAGCTTCTTAGTACCTACTATCATCACTACAACTGTACCAGTAGCGACAGCCGTAACGATTATTCTAGATAGGTTATCACGTGATATTTTCTCCGCTTCTTCCCTTTGCTGTTAAGAGTATGCTAGCAATGTAGTACTAGTAACTTGTAGCTTTCACACGTAACAGTTTCAACCTGAGTCGCGTAAATATGCAGCGAGTGTTCTCTTTATTATGTTCTAGACGTAAGATAAGAGGCGTATTTGTAATAAAAAGTAATCAGTAATTGCCGCTGCTTATTACGCAAATTACCTATTTGTTTAAACATTGTAAACAATGGAACATCTGAAGAATTCTAAGTGCATTTACAATGAATATATTTCCGTTACTTATTTCGATTAAAACTTAAATTGTAACATCTTTCAAACATAAAAAACATCAAAAGGATTAAGATGTTACTTGCAAAAAACCGCAAGACATTGATACTGACAACAATCATATCATTTGTTTAACAGAAACTTATTATACACAGACAACAATAGGTGGAAAACGAACACCAGGAAAAAAACCAAGGATATCGCTTACCGTCATTTAAAAAAGACAGCCTGAAGCTTTCCATCGCCATCTTTGGGGTGACGATAGTCTTTGCTCGCCGACGCACTGTGCCTGTCTCATAGGATTCCAGATCCTGACAAAAGCATAATTAGTTCATTATAGTCTCAGTACATATAAGAAATGAATAGTAATGGCTATAACTACAGGACCTTTTTAATGGAAATCAGACATTAAACAAACAAAGGCAGACTACAAAACATACACAGAAGAGGATTAGGAAATGTGTTAACAATGATGGGGGAGATCATGGGGCCAGGGTCTCACAATCATAAAGGATATAACACAGAGGCCTGATTTAGTGGATAGCCTATGATTTACTGTGGGATAAAGGGCTGAAGAAGGAGAAGAAGACGAAGAAGAAGAAGAAGAAGAAGAAGAAGAAGAAGAAGAAGAAGAAGAAGAAGAAGAAGAAGAAGAAGAAGAAGAAGAAGAAGAAATAGAAGAAGAAGAAGAAGAAGAAGAAGAAGAAGAAGAAGAAGAAGAAGAAGAAGAAGAAGAAGAAGAAGAAGAAGAAGAAGAAGAAGAAGTGCGAGGAGGAGGAGGAGGACGACGACGATGACTAAGAAGAAGAAATGCTATTAGTGAATACACATTTGATTGCTAAATATAATGTTAACAAAGATACCAATACGATGTTTACTACTGCTGCTGTTGTCGCTGCTGTACGACTACTACTACTACCACCAACACCACTAGGGCCGTATTTAGGCACACTGCAACACATGCAGCTTCACAGGGCTGTGCAACATTTGATGGTCTGGGAAATTCCACAACTTACTGTATGTAGCATGTAAACGAACTAAAACGCTGAAGCTTAGCTGAGGAAGGAGAGTGCGTAACCCGAGTGACTGTACATGGGCGTAATACACCATAAATATGAGCCGACGACTACTATTCTTACTGCAACCACCACGACCATAAATATTACGTTTGTTTTACTTAGATATGCACCACCAACAAACACATGTGAAATATGGAAACAATAAAAACGAAACGTAAATATTCAGCGGGGGGCGTACACCAATTACGTAAAGAGAACCGGGCCGTGTCTGCTTCCTTGCACATATACACTACGAAGATATACTACTAAGTGCATGTTAACTTTGCATTACTTTAAAAAAAAAGGGGGGGGGGGTGAGGGAGCGGGTTGATGAGGAATGCTGTTCACATAGGCACTGGAACCTAGGGGGAAAAGGAGCGGGAGGGAAAACAACTAGATCCCCCCCCCCGCCCCTTTTTTTTTCTTTATCGGGAGGCAGGTTGACCCTGATTATTTTGCAAGAAGACTAAGATCCCTTGTAACAACTGATATTTATTTTCTTTTATATTAATTGCTTTCACATTTCGTATTATTTCGAGTAAATTATTAAATTTACTTCGTATTTGATAATTCACATTTACATATAATATATTAAATTTAGCGCAGTAAAAATAATCACATTTATAAAGATAATATAATAATAATAATGCGCCCAATGACAAAGATATATGTATATAACATGCTCGACATAATATGAAATGTAAGAACAAATACTTGAAAAGATCATTTCTATTCATGGTTAATGGTCGGTCTTAGCCTCTTTACAAGAGTTAATGGGTGGGGGGGGGGGTCTCTTTGAATTGGGGGCGGGGGTTGGCACAAAAACAGAGACATATCTCTAATCAATAATGTGTATAGAAAATCTGTAGCTAGCAGAGTGGAGGAGGCCAATGGTTTATCACATAATTGAGAACATAGGGGGGCTGCACTGGTCTGAGCTCCAAAACATGTTTGGCATGAGTAGTAAGGAGGGCGTGGTTGATGGTGGGACTCAGCTCCCTCCCCCAGTGTCTCCTAATTTTTTGCTGGGGTGAGGGGAGGGATGAAACGCTCAAGATTTACACAGTGTTACACACTAGCTCACTTCTGATCGGTAGACATTGAGCCACGTGGCTTGGCACAAGGTTACGGAGGTATTCCGCAATGCTGTTATATATTTGTTGTATATTTCAGCGCGCCATCGCTTTTAATACTCTGAAAAAAATGGACAAATTGGGTCTAATAAAACTCCCCTAGAGAGTGCTTCAACCTATGTCACATGCATTCTCTTTCTCGGAATGAAAAGGTAAATGCAAGACAACCCAGAAAGCAAACAACAAATCAGCACACCCGTAGCCTGCAGGAAAGTAGACCAGCCCAACACACCGATGAATTAAACGTGACCTACATTTTTTGGGGAGACCAACGTTAGTTTTACCAAATTGTTGTAAATTCATGGATCTCTAACAGCGAGTGTTAAATTCACACATAGGAAAATGAACTTTGCATCGGGTTTTCTACAAATAAGTTATTTGTAATCGCAGTCACTGAAAAGTAAGCAAGAGGAAAGGAAGTAGATCAAGTGGCGTGACCTCCCTATTCTCGGCGTTTCTACCTCACACAGCCATTATTTTATATATACAACGCTTACGTAAAGTTATTACTTACACATTGGATAATTCACGTCTTTAGTAGCATCACACATCTCACACAAAACTGGCTTTAATTACACGCACTGCAAATAATTAACGTCACAACCACGGATATCCGGTAATAATTAGCCGCCATAACACTGCATGTGTTTTGTTTCGCTATGTGTGTTACAACTTTTGTAGACAGCATCAAGTCAATGAACGAGTGTGTGGGTGTGTGTATGAATGTCTGTGTCTGCTCGCGCGCACGTGTGTGTGTGTGTGTGTGTGTGTGTGTGTGTGTGTGTGTAGTGGTTTTATTGTCGAAGACATTTATCCCCCAAATGATGGCGCCGGTTTCAAGTGAATCAGGAAATGGTGCGCTCCAACACATGGACAGCGGAAATGTAAATAATTTGCCATTGTTTACAGAATATGCTACCTGATTAACTGCGTGCTGGTGGAAACAGAACGTGGTGGGGAAACTGAATGTGCAAGCACGATTTCGTGCCTAGCTGTCCGTTTCTGTCGGCATCACGGCTGCCATGTTGGTGATGACTGGAGAGATAGCAGTGATAATGATTGTAGAGTTTTACAAGATTGTGTTTAGGTTTAGGTTTAGACGACAGATCAACATCATGGCACAAAGGGGGGAGGGGGGGGACCCATAAGTGCTCCGTTCTACTTCTGACTCAGGCCTGAGTCTGACTAATCTCAGTACACTGCACAAACTCCGTAGGACCGGCGAGGATCCCAGGCAGCGCCGTTAGGCTACTCTTTTCGATTTCCAACTGCTATGATCGTCTTACTACCCATAGACCGGGGGGGGGGGGAGGGGCAACTAAAAGTCCATGTAAAAAAATCCCAGCCTTCAACGGGGCCTGAACGCGGGACCTCCAGCACTCGAGGCGGACTCCATGCCTTGAGATCACGCAGCTCCCTAAACAAGATTACATCACAATGTTAACACAGGTCCCAATGAAAACCACGACTCGTACAAGATTGTATTTGAGGCTGGCTAACGAAACAGGCGATGGGTGGAAGAGATCATTTAGCACAGAATATTATGAAAACAGTTCAGTCCGGGTGAGTAATAGGAGTAGGCTTCACATCACAATCATGAACGATTTAATAAGCATTCCATATGTAACGCACTTATTAGCATACGATACAAGCGAACAATGAAAAGTTACGGCCCTTGCCTGGCACACCTATTTCTGGCTAGTATGCAATTTTTGTATTCACACGTGCTTCAGAGCTTCAACCGCTCAGAAAAGAGAGGCCTCGGGTAATAAGAGATATGTATTCTTGTTTGTATATGTAACAGTGTCTATCCATGTCAAATACTGATGAAGATTTTCTAGCAGCAGTGCTTACTTGTCTTTCCTGATTATGATATTGTAAAGACGACCAGCTTTACTTCTCGTTTGGTTCCATATCTTTTTAAAGGGCGATGGTACAAGTTCCAATGAAAATACACACAATCACTTATCTGTAAAATGACGTTTGTTAAACACATATCCAGAAAGAATGTTGAATTAGGAATTGACATCATAGCACTCGGGACACCACCATAAGTGCTTCGTCCCCATTTTCAGCAGCTAGCGAAGAGTTCCAAATCCGATGGCACGAGTAACTGTCTGACTGTATATCCGTCTCGTCTTTCCCCTGATTCTCAAGCGTAGGACAGATCCCCTTGTAACTACTCGCAGTACCATTCTCCTCAGACGGTAATGATCTATCTTTGCCTTGGCACTTTTCACTCGCTCCTAAAGGGCACAAATATCCAGAACATGTCTGGACAGTAGAAGCTCTAAGTGTATGCACAGTTACAGAAAGTCCTATTTAACCATTAATGCACATAATGTGCATAATAATGCCTGATTATGTTTCTTCTTCTTTAAAGTAAATGCGTGTAGAATGGTCATCGTGCCCCCTCCCCCCCCCCCCCCCCCCCACCCCCCCCCCCCCCCCCCGCGGACTTCTGGTTCGTGTCCCGCCATTAATTTCAGACTAAGGTTTCCCTCTAGGTCATAATGCTAAAATTTCATAAATGATCTCATGTTGCTTCTCCTCTGTACGAACTTCGATGTTATCAAAACATACTATAGTTGTCCGCTATTCGTGACATGCAAAAGGGATATGGACTTTGTTTTCACGTGGGTAATTAGCGTCTGTGGACTGGGCGTTGCGAATGCGCATCGTAATGCCAAGGTCAATCCCAACTGCATACGACTTGGCAGCAGACCACCTTGCATTGGTTTAAACAGTGGTATCGAGAGCTGACCATGTTGTAGGAATGGCAAACTATTTAAAGTTAAACTGCCTAATAACATCGCGAGCGCGCGCACACACACACACACACACACACACACACACAATACACACACACAAACAATACACACACACACACACACACACACAATGCTGAGGTTGGTTCCAAACTTCCTGTAAAGGAAACGTAGTTAACTCTTTTCATCATCATCAGTTCTCGTTATGCCTAGTGGCACATGAGGCTTCAGAGAGGACTTTCCATGCTTTCCTGTCCTGTGCAATATTTAGTGCAGTTTTCCATGTCAAAGATGCCGCACTCAGGTCACTCTCCATCGTTCGTCTCCATGTTGTTTTTGGGCGCCCCTGTTT